TTATTACTCACCATTAGTGACGGAGAATACATTTTAAACAACCTTCTGCAATTTGGTGAGATTGGTGTTGTGGTGTACCTTTTTATAGGATGAATGCAGAAGTACTGTTAAGTGTTATAATTTGTATAGGTTGTCTGGCTTGGCTTTGGCTCTTTACAAGGTAAGTAGATGCTTCCAAAAAACTTGCATTCATTCCAAAAAGACTCTACATTGTAACTGCAATGAACACTTTATATAATTTTCAGCTACAGTATTGCAGTTGTCATTAAAACTTGCTTTTTTTAGTTTCATTCAAGAAACTTCCCTCTCTTGTTTCATGCAATGTTATTTGAATCGCACACATGAAGCCCCAAACTTTTGAGGAAGAAAAGAGCCATGTAAAAATGGACCAAAAATACATTTGCTGTCTTTGTTTGAGGTTTATATTCGGAATAATTTGTTGTACTTCTGGAAGGCAAAACTATTGTATGCACCGTTGCATGCAGTGGTGTGTTGTGTTCTGTTTAAACAAATTCGGAAAGTACGCGTTATTTCTGTGAACCCCATTCATTTCTGCTAATGGTAAAAAATAAAAGCATGTCTTTTCTACACAATCTGTTACGTTCTGTTTGTGTGAAGTTAGCTGTTTCTTAAGTATTGCCATTAAGTGAATGAGTTAGTGCGTCAAAGGTTACTGAATTCCTTGCATTTGATATTGTGCCTTATCGTGTGATCAAGATGTCTCTCAGAGCTTCAAGATTTTACCTTGAAGTGGATTAATGAATACGGCAGCTAATTTGCACACAGCAAAGTTCCACAAACAGGCAAGAATTGAATGACAAATTTTATCTGGGAGGGGAGATTGTCAGCCAGGACACTGTGTTAGAAAATAAAATCAGCCAAATCTGTAAAGAAATAACGCTAATTCCTCTAACCAGATATCAGACTTATTATTCGTTCGTTATTCCCCAATATCCCGATGGGTCAGACCAAAGGCCGGTACAATCAACAGATCTTATAACAGAATAACACCACTATAGATATCTCGAGTTCAAGAGTTCAACACTGTGTCTTTCCAGCACACAAGCTTGATTCTTCATGCTTTCAGTCTTCTTGCTTACAGCTTTCAATCTTCCATCTGATATCCTCAGTCTTAGTGTTTCCAGCTCTCAGTCTTCCATCTCCTGTACCCTTGTCTCCACGACCCAAGACGGCCCCATCTACCGTATCCTTGTCTCCGCGACCCGGGACGGCTCCATCTCTCTTATCCTTGTCTCCGCGACCCGGGACGGCCCCGTTCACAAAGTTAACGGAACTCTTATACCAATGTTCATCCAATCATGGTGTGGACATTAGATCACCCGGTCAAAATCATGCTGGGTGTACGTGAACACCTCATGGGGTGTACGTGCCTCAGCCCACATACACATTGTCCTTAAGACCCCTGTTATCTGATCTAATTGTCTAAGATAGAGGATTGATCAGTTTAGGACTGTATCTGGTGCTCATTATTTTGTGGTGTGGGATCATTAGTACATTCCTTTTAAGTGACTGGTTATTCCTTATCAGTATCCCAGGATGGTACCAAGGTCCTCTAGTTTAAGCAACTTGCTCATTAATTGCTATTCTTGAGGGTTGCCTTCTGTCGCTTGGCAGGCCCTGTCAGAATCTAGCAACTTATTGCTCAGTCGAGATTCTGTGTCGACTGGTACCTTGAACCGTTACCTCTGTGGCTTGTTGTCATTTACTGATAAGAGGTGACCCCCTGTCCGTTATTCTTTCAAAAACAGAGAAAACCAGATGTGTCCTATCCCATGACTGTCAGTCCAGTTGTCCCCCACACGTAACTTAAAAGTTAACCCATTCACAACATCTATTATGATTCTAGCAGCATACAAAACGTGTATATTCTAACAACTGTGAGAAACTCCCTTCTCCTTTTTGAATCGTGCCATAGGAACTCAGTTTAACGTTGCCTTTGAAGGACAGTTCAGTTGATGAGATAAAATGTTCACTTTTAGGCTAAATGAGACGGAAAACAAATTAAATTATAATTAAAGATTATCTATCAATGTTAAATAAGCTAGAAAGTGTGGGTGGATCCCACTCAGACCTGCTGCACATTCCATGAACCCTTGTATTTTACAGCAAAATTACATTTGTATAGTACCTTTCACGTTGGAAGGATGTCTCAAGGCGCTGGACAGTCAGTGTTTCGGACACGAGCTGGAGGTCAGGATTGGAGAGGGTGGAGGGTAGGAGTGAAGCAGGCCGATCAAAAGCACGGTTGAAGAGGAGAGTCTTGAGATAGATCTTGAAGGAGACAAGGGAGCGGTGAAGCGGATGGATTGCAGGATGGAGTTCCAGAGGGTAGGGGCAGAGTGGCAGAAGGCCTGCCCACCAATGATGGGGTGGGCGAGGCGAGGGACGTGAAGCTGGAAGGAGCGAGCAGGATGGTAGGGGGTTAGGAGGTTGCAGAGGTGGGGGGGAGCAAGGTCGTGCAGCAAGGCCATGGAGGGATCTTGAACTCAATCCTCTGTCCTCAATCCTCGATGAGTGATGGGAAGCCAATGGAGTCAGGCAAGGATGAGGGTGATAGTCACAGAGCCTGGTGCGGGAGTGGACACGGGCTGCAGAGTTTCTGATGATCTGCGGTGTGAGACAGTAGTGGAGCCGGGCGATGTTGCAGAGGTGAGGGAAGGCAGAGCGGGTCATGGCACAGATGTGGGGTAGAAAGAATAGTTGAGGGTCAAACAAGACACCAAGGTTCCGGACTGGCTTAGTAAGGTGGAGTGTGCATCCATGGATGGTGATGCTGTCAACCCCTGAGGTGTGATGGGAGCCAATCAGGAGGGCCTCGGTCTTATTGATGTTCAATTGAAGAAAGTTAGCTCTCATCCAGGACTTGATGTCTGACGAATAGTCTGTCAGGACAGCAGTGGTCCTGGAGTCAAGGGTGAAAGCAGAGAGATATAGTTGGGTGTCATCTGCATACATGTGGAAGTTGACCCCATGTCTGTGGATGATGTCACCAAGAAGGAGCATATGGATATTGAAGAGGAGGGGACCAAGGACAAGCCCTGAGGAACGCCAAATGAAACCGTTTGTGGTGATAAAGTGGAGGCAATGTGAGAGGTATGATCTGAACAACAACAAGATTACATTTGTATAGCTCCTTTCACGTTGGGAGGACGTCCCAAGGCGCTGGACAGTGTACACATTTCAGTCCCGAGCTGGGGTCGGGGAGAGGGGAGGGGAAGGGGGGTGACCAATGGAATGGTCGAAGAGGAGGATTTTGGGGCGGGACTTGAAGGATGCTAAGGAGGGGGCGAGGAGGAGTGATCGAGGGATGGAGTTCCAGAGGTTGGGGGCAGAGTGGCTGAAGGCTCTCCCGCCAATGGTGGGGCGGGTGGGTCGGGACGTGGAGCAGGCTGGAGCCGGCAGAGCGGAGGGATCAGGCGGGTTGGTAGGGGGTTAGGAGGTCACAGAGATAGGGTGGGGCGAGGCCATGGAGGGCTTTGTAGGTGAGGACTAGGATTTTGAACTGGATCCTCTGAAGGATAGGGAGCCAATGGAGTCAGGCGAGAATGGGGGAGATGGGGTCGCGGAGTTTGGTGCGGGAGAGGACACGGGCTGCAGAGTTCTGGTTTAACTGCAGCCTGTGGAGGGAGGGTTTGGAAGGCTGACAAGCGGGGAGTTTGCGTAGTTGAGCCTGGAGGTGATGAAGGCATGAACAAGAGTTTCAGCGGTCTGAGGGGTAAGGAAGTGGCGGAGTCGGGCGAAGTTACGGAGGTGAGGGAAGGCAGAGCGGGTCATGGCTTGGATGTGGGGAAGAAAAGACAGTGAAACCAGACATCTAGGTTCCTGACTGGCTTGGTGAGTTGGTGTGTAACCATGGAGGTTGATGCTTCCAGAGGCTGAGGTGCAGAGGCGCTGGTGCAAGCCCATCAGGAGGGCCTCAGTCTTGTTCACATTCAACTGTAGGAAGTTTGCCCTCATCCAGGATTTGATGTCCGACAGGCAGTCTGTCAGGACAGCAGTGGTCCTGTAGTTGAGGATGATAGAGTTGGGGGTCATCCGCATACATATGGAAGTTGACCCCATGTCTGCGGATGATAAACCATTCAACCACTGAACCGTTTTATTATCAGTAGCTGAACTTTCAGCCACTTTGCACCTGCTCTCTGGAACTCCTAAAATCCCTTCCCCCTGTGCCCTCTCTCCCTGCTTTCCCCCGTGACACAACTCAAATGAAATGAGCCAACCCTCTGAACTTAGAAAAAGTTTTACCCTTATTCTGGGTTCACAGCCACCTCTCTGTCCTCAATCCTCTGTGGGCTTTTACCTTCCAGGACATCCTCCAGACTTGAAAGACGCTATACCTTTCAACTATATTCACGTCACTTAATTGCACCTGTCGCTAACTGATTTGTGGAATGTTGGGGGTGGGGGGCAGATTTCCCCCTCCCGATGCCCCCTTACTGATGGGTAAACGCCGGCGACAATCCACGACTGTCTGTGGGACACTGCTGTGCGCAATTGGCTGCCGCGTTTCGCCCACAAAATACAGTCAATTCACTTTACAGTCTATTCTGTGAAGCGTTTGAGACGTCTCGAAGACGTGAAAAACTGTATATCAAATGGAAGGATTATTATTATTATTATGATAAGGTGTATATCAAATGGAAGGATTATTATTATTATTATGATAAGGTGTATATCAAATGGAAGGATTATTATGATAAGGTGTATATCAAATGGAAGGATTATTATTATGATAAGGTGTATATCAAATGGAAGGATTATTATTATATGATAAGGTGTATATCAAATGGAAGGATTATTATTATTATTATGATAAGGTGTATATCAAATGGAAGGATTATTATTATATGATAAGGTGTATATCAAATGGAAGGATTATTATAATAATCAATCAATCAATCAATGACGGGGGGCGGGGCTCCAGTCACGTGCTCTGGTCTGCGCGCGCGCCGCCGCACAGACTGCTGGGAATGGTGGTGAGCGCGAGTCTCGGTGGCACCGGCGGTAACGGGCGGTGACCGGACAGCAGAGCCTCCGCCGCTCCCGGCGCCAGAGCCGCTGGTGGTTACCGGGGGCTGTGAGCTGCCCGGCCGGCGGCCGCCGCTACTGACCGTCTCTGTCCCGCTCCCCGGGGGCTGAGCTGTGGCCGCGGACCTGCTGAGGGGGGCGCGCGGCCCGGCCCGGCCTAACCTCCTGCCCCCGGCCTCCGCCCGTCACTGTCTCCCGGGCCCGGGCCCGGCCCCGGCACAGCGCTGAGCGGTGGCCGTGAAGCGGGCGTCATGGAGCAGTCTAACAATGGCTTACCCCCGTACGCCCAGGGGCTGTCGTCGCCGCAGGTCAGTCCGGGGCTGATGGGTGTGTTTCAATGTCTCTCCACTGAAGGCCTTAAATTCACACCAACTGTGAGGGGTTCCCGGGAGGCGGTACACACTGAGCGCGGGATAGCCCGTCAGGAAAGAGGTGGTTTCACACCGATGAGATACACAGCTTCTCAGTGTTAATGCTCAAGTCAGACGTGGGATTATTATTTTTATTAATAATAACGCATGTGATAATGAATATTATTATATCTGATACAGCACCTTTCATGCCAGGCGGACGTCTCAAAGCGCTTCATAGGATTTATTGTCAACTACAGTGACTGTGTTTTGTAGATGAACGTGACCTACAAACGGCAGAACAGTCGGTACGCTCCAAAAATCTTTTATTTCTTAATGTGGGGAGAAGACTTCCTCAGTCCTCTCCTCTTTAATGTTCACAAGTTCCCGCTCCCTGATGTCGTCCACAGGCATGGGGTTAACTTCCACATTCACACGCATAACACCCAACTCTCTCTCCGCCTCCACCATCAAGTCCAGGGTCACTGTCCTGACAGCCTGATGAGAGTTAGCATTCTTCAGTTGGATGTTGACAAGATAAGCCTTCCTGACATTATCAATCCACGTGGATACACACTTCAACAACATTTGTATAGCGCCTTTCACATCGGAGGACGTTCCTTCACCTCGTGGAGTCGCTGCAGAACCTCATTGTTTTGTTCGACTGTACTTCAATTCCACACCTGTGCCTTGACCTTACATTTCTCTACCTCTGTAATATTGCCCACTTCCACCTCCACCACTATCCTTCCCCATGTCGGCTAGACTACACCAACTCTGCTCGCTGAACTTCCCAACTCTTCCCTCCACAAGCTGCTGACCGTCCAGAACACTGCAGCTCATATCTTCTCCCGCGCTAGACAACGCGAGCTATCACCCCATCCTCACCCAGCTCCATGGCTCCCCATTCCCCAGAGAGAAACTTCAAAGTCCTTTTCCTCAGTTTTAAATCTCTCTATGGTCTTGCCCCACCTCACGTCTGCAACCATCTTAAACTCTACAAATCCGCCCACTTCCTCCAGTCGGCAGCCACTGCCCCGCTTCATGTCCCGCACCCTTCCTGCACCATCATCAGTGGTCGGTCTTTCAGCCTTTCTGTCCCCGTTCTCTGGAACCTGTAGGTCAGTGGTTAGAGCACTCACCTTGAGAGCGAGAGACCTGGGTTTGATTCCCGGAGGGTGAAATGTTGGGCAAGTTTCCTTACTCCACACGCAGTAAGTAAGAACCTGGTTGTTAGTCAATTGGCGGATTGCTTTTCTGGGGATAATAATTCCTTCAAAAAAAAATTGGTTACTTCAATCCACAACTGTTTGTGAGACACTGCTGTGCGCAATTGGTTGTCGCGTTTCGCCTACAAAATATACAGTCAATTCACTTTACAGTATATTGTATGAAGCGCTTTGAGACTTCTTGAAGATGTGATAAGGCGTTATATCAAATGCAAGGATTATTATTTATTATTAACTCCGTCCCAGAGAACCTTTTCCTCATGCCTTCTCTCGGCTTCCAAGTCTGACTCAAGACATTCCTCTTTGATCTTTCCTTCAGTTATCTCCCTCACCTCCACCCCTCCTGAATGCGACCCACTGCTCAGGTGCAAACCCTCAACTGTCCAATGCCTTGGGAAGTGAAAGGTGCTATATAAATATATGTAATAAAATGTATAAATACAAGCTCTGCTGCGTGCAGAGTTGATGTAGATATGCCGTGTTTCCTCCACAAAATATCCAGTCAATTTGCTTTACAGTATATTCTGTGAAACGCTTTGAGATGTATCAACGATGTGATTTCAAATGCAAGGATTATTATTGTTGTTGTAATCCTGATAATTGTATTTATTACAGCACATTTCATGTGAAAATATCTAAAGTGCTTTCTAAAATGTAATAGATTGTAAATGAAGTGGATGTAGTTTTTAGGCAAACATAACTTTGTTTTGAACAATTGGTGTGGTAGGCTTAACTTTGAGTGGATTTGAAAACACATTAACCCTGTTCTTGTTGGTTGTGGCCATTGCAGTGAATGAAGCAGAAAATGGTGTTTGTGGGTAAAATAAGTTGTTTATGTTTGATTCTTGTGTGTGTATAAACATTGTTAAAATGAACGCATTGCATATCTACATCAATACTTGAACAACATCCTTTATCGGAGCTTATTTTATGTAATTATTAATAATAATACTTGTATTTGACCTTATTAATAACAATACTTGTGCCTGACCTTATCATGTCATCACAGTATCTGTTTACACTTTACAGCAGTCACTGTGAAGTGATGTATTTTGTAAGTGAGTGTGACAGTCCTTTTTATCTGGGGATGATTGTTGGGCAGAACACCAGGAGAAACTCTTTTTTCGAATAGTGCAATGGCATCTTTACTATCCACAGGAACAGGTAGACAGGACCTTGGCTTAATGCCTCACCTGAAGGACGCCACCTCTGACATTGCAGCAACCCCCAGTACTGTGTTGGAGTGTCAGCCTTGATCAAGTTCAAAGTCCTGACGTGGGGTTTGAACTCACAACTTTGACAAACAACAACAGCAACAAGATTACATTTGTATAGCGCCTTTCACGTCAGGAGGATGTCCCAAGGTGCTGGCCAGTGTACAGCATTTCAGACCTGAGCTGGGGTCGGAGCGAGAAGGGAGGGGAGGGGAAGGGGGTGACAAAGATGCAAGAGTGCCATTGACTGAGCCAGGCTGACCCCTGAATAGAGGAGATATGAGCAATCGATTGGCAGAGAAATTCCTTTCTCGAAGATTGTTGGTTTAAACCCCATATCCCACACTCTGGGACTTTGATCTCATAGTGTAGGCTGACACTCCGGGGAGTGCTGCATCGTTGGAGGTGCCAACTGAGCCATTAAAGCAAAGACCCATCTGCCTGGTCAGATTGTTGGGTTCAGAGGGATGGCCCGCGAGGAATTAACCACTCTGCTTCCCCTATCAATTGGGCAGCGTATAAACACACTGATTTGCAAGTGATTTTGATTTTGCCTCCCTCCATAGGCTGCAGATCTCCCGCACCGGGCTTCCTGACCCTACCACCCCCATCCTCGCCCGACTCCACTGGCTTCCCATCACACAGAGGATACAGTTCAAGATGCTGGTCCTCACCTTCAAAGCCCTCCATGGCCTTGCTCCCCCCCTACTTCTGCGACCTTCTAACCCCCTGCCAACCTGCCCGCTCCCTCCACTCAGCAGGCTTCGGCCTGTTTCACATCCCCCGCCTCACCCATCCTACCGTTGGCAGGCAGTCTTTCTGATACTCTGCCCCCTACCTCTGGAACTGCACCCCGCAGTGCCTCTGCCTCTCCCCCTCCCTTGCCTCCTTCAAGACTTGTCTCAAGACCCTCCTTTTCGACCGTGGCTTTGGTCATCGACCTACTCCCCCTCTCCATCCACCCGCTCCTGATCCTCAGCTCGGGTACGAAACACTGATTGCCCAGCTCCCTGGGATGTCCTCCCAACCTGAAAGGCACTATACAAATCCAATTTTGCTGTTGTGTGGCCAGACCAGCAGACAAAATTCTCTTGGATTGAGAACACTGGTGATACTGCGGGAATCTGAATCTCTTGCAAATGTGTTCTTGTATCATTGTCTGTTCTGATATTACTTGAATCTCGGGACCTTGGGTAGAAGTTCTGCCCTCCTGGACGAGTGAGCGAAATGTACTCTTTCCCACACATCTCTCTCCCCCCCCCCCCAACCCCCACCGCACAAACCACTGAAGTGTAGTCCAGCTATACTTTATACTGTATCCTGGTTATCTACTTCAGAATGATCATTGCATGTCAGTACCTTTTCACAACCTGATTATTTATTTTAATCAATTGGCCTCAACTAACTGATTAAACTACAGGTCTATTTTAAGACACAACAGACATAACAAACTGCAGAAAACATGTTCACTTCTTTCACTTCTTCCTCAGCTATTATAATTTGTAATAAGTAGAACGCACTGAATATTGACAACTCTTCATACCATTTTATTCTCTATGATATTCCAGCGACTGTGGCGCTTAGGGAGAAGTTCTGTAGTTCAGTTTAGTCAAAACATTTTATAATCAAGATTGTAATTCTGCAAATCATCTTGACACTAGCTAACCAGCATAAACATACTTAACTTAAGTAAAATAACAGTTTTTATAATTCACCTGTGATGTGATCATAACAAGGTGAATGTTACAGATAATAATAAAAATAATCCTTGCATTTGATATAGAACCTTATCAGATCGTTGAGATGTCTCAAAGCGCTTCGCAAAATATACTGTAAAGTGAATTGACTATTTTGTGGGAGAAAAGCTCTAGACAGTTGCACACAACAGTGTCCCACAAACAGTTGTAGATTAAGTGACCAATATTTTTTATTATTTATTTAAGATCGCATGGCATGATTTGAAAAGAGAAAGGAGTTTCTCCCAGTTTGTCCTGGCTGACAATTCCCTAGACAAAAGTTGGTTGTTCACTTCATGGCTGTTTGTGGACACTGCTATGTGCAAAATAGCTTCTTGGTCAGTCTGCAAGTACAGGCAATACACTTTACAGTCAAAATCCTCTGAAGCACTTTGAGATGTCTTGACAATGTGATAAGGCACTATAACATAGATTTGTTTATATGAATTTTTGTGTGCCTAAAGTTGTCAGTCTGGCTAATTTGGTAGCATTCTTGCCTCTGAGTCAGAAGGTTGTGATCAAGCCCCACTTTGAACTCGCACAGTCTTGGCTGTCACTCAGTTGCTCCATTGTTAGAGACGGTGTCTTTTGGATGAGACATTAAACTGAGGTACCACCTGTTTGTTCAGGTGGACGTTAAAAATCCCATGGCACTATTTGAAAAGAGGAGGGAGTTTCTTCCAGTGTCCACTAAATAAAACTGGGAGCTCATTCCATGCTGTTTGTGGGATTGCTGTGAGCAAATTGGCTACCATATATATGCACCTAAAATGTAGTCGACTATACAGCGAAATCCGGTGAAGTGTTTTGAGACATCTCAGTGATGTCAAAAACAGTTATACCAAATGCAAGGATTATTATAAAGCTGAGATGTCATTTCTGATGAGCCTAATATTGGCATTAAGTACTCTCAGAGGCACCTGCTGCACTGTATAGTATGAGTGGGATAGATAGTTGCGTCTTGATGGCAGTTTTGTGCTGTTAGTAGAAATCAAATTGAGATCACCCAAATTGATATCAGATGGAACCAAACACAGCTGTGAGGTGCAAAGTCTTGCTATTTCCTCCTCCAGGAGTTATAATATGCTTGAAGTGCCATACGGTGAGTTTTTGTGTGTCTGTTTCACATCCCGGTTTTGGAGGCCTGTGTGGATAACTGGTTTGCAGGTAACCAAAATTCTGCTGTGGTGCACACTTAATGGGCCCACTGGGCAGTTTCTGTTTTGTGATGTTTTAAAACTTAATGGTCTCCAGCCACATGAGAATCGTGTCTGCCAGATATAGGACAGGTAGAACCTAGTTTGGGTAAAAAATATTTGTGTAAAGAGTGAAATGTATTATGACAATTTTGTTTGGTTCAAGTTGATACATTCTTGTGTCAATAAATACTTCAAAATGTCTGGAATGTATCTGTGACTATAAACAGTAGAATGCCAGTTATCCGCACACATGGCTCAGAAGCAGAAGTCGGAAAGGGCTGCAAGATGCTGACAAATATACTGGTATGCAAAGTTATACATACACAAGGTTAGCCAGGAAAACTCTGATCTTACGGCCACATCGTGATCCAAGCCACCTCATGTGCATGCCCAACTTCACACACGCTCAACAGTTTAGTTTTCTTGCCTATAGCAAAGGTAAGTCTTTAGGATTAGAGATCTATTGTAGAGGTAAAGAATGGAAGGGACAAAGTGCAAATAGAGAAGGGCTGGTACAGTGTGGAGCTACAGTACAACTCCCAATGGAACAGTTTGGTTAGTTAGGACTGTTGTCGATTTGAATTTTGTGTGAGGTCCAATTATCTGCACTGTTTGCTAATCCATAAAGGGTTGTCCCCAATTTGTGTGGTCAATTGTCTCTCTTCTATATTCAGCAATCTGTGTGCCTGCTTTTTATTTAGCTGTGTGTCGGGAGCAAAACTACATCAACTTAAATTTCTTGGTTGTTTTCCTCAGGGTGCCGTGACGCCAGGAATAAACATTTTCAGTCCCATGATGCCATATGGCACTGGCTTGACTCCACAACCAGTTCAGAGCTCCAATAGTTTGCCACTTTTGGAAGAACAACAAAGACAACAACAAGCAGCACAACAGTCTACAACATCTCAACCATCAACACAAGTGTCCTCCAGCCAGCCACCACAGCTCTTTCACTCACAGACGACCACCACAACCACTTTACCAGGCAACACGCCTTTTTATCCATCACCAATGACACCTATGACACCAATAACCCCAGCTACTCCCGCTTCTGAGAGTTCAGGAATTGTGCCACAACTACAGTAAGTAACATTAGTTTGGATATGTTTGTGCAGATCAGGCTAATCAACGTCGGTGCTGAGTGATATTTTACACTTTGACATTGCCATTAGCTGCCGGGTTTGCCCACAAAATACGCACAGCAATAAAACGTGAACACAAGTTCACATAATGAGAACTTAGAATCCACCTTGTTTGGTATACGGGAGGTAAGCTCAAACTCTGTTGCTAGACAGTGTTTTCAATGGCAAACTATGTGATTTTAGCTGGTTGAATTCCAGCAGAACCCCAACACACAACCTTGGCTCTTGTCAGCCTGCATCCCAAACGCTTCAGAATTAGGTAACCAAGCTATCGCCTGCAAAAAATTATACTTTCAATTCACTTTACAGAATATTCTGTGAAGGCTGAGACATCTCGAAGAAGTGATAAGGTGCTATATCAAATGCAAGTATTATTATAAACTGTGTCTTTCCAGGGTGAGAGTTGTAGGTAAATATGGGGAACTCTGTCTGGTTGGAATACTCTTAAGCATGGGTTGGGTTTCTGCATGCCTCAAACACCCAGCTGACTAAAAAAAAGTATTTCAATGCAAAATGCTACCTGTCCTGAAAAAAAATGTTTACTGTAATGTTTTAATATGCACACTTTGTATCTAGGAATATAGTGTCCACAGTTAATCTGGGCTGTAAACTGGACTTGAAGACAATTGCCCTTCGAGCCAGAAATGCTGAATATAATCCAAAGGTAAGAATTAATGTCCTCTGATTTTAAGAAGTTTTCATTTTGTAACACAATTTAAGTTTTGATGAAAGATTCAATAGTTCTCAGATTGATTTGGATACATGGCTTTGGTTTTCCGTGTGTGTCAGACACCTGACATGACCAAAAACAATTATATTTTTCACGAGTTTTGGTAAAATACTGGAAAGTTTAAGCGTTTTAGTACAAGTGTATTCATTGACCAAAGCTTTATTTGATTTGGCAACTACTTTTTAAGACGTAAGGTAATTTGGTCTCGACCTCTTGATCTAGAAGTGCACAGCGCCTTTGGAAGTGCCATCCTTCAGATCGGTTGTTAAAGGAGAGAAGTTTGACTCTCGGTCCATTAAAAAAATTAGTCATTAGCTTCATGACTCTTTGTGGCACCTTCCTTGCTGTGTGTGAAATGCTGCCACATTTAACTACATGTAAGTCACTGCATTTGATGCCAATTTATTGTGAAACCCTTTTGAGATTTTTTTTAATGCTGTGAACACTGCTGCAAGGATTATTATTCCTACTCACCAGCACAGTAAAAAACCAATCAGCAGTACCAGTATTTAGCTGGTATTAACTGCTGATTCCAGCATTTTTGCAGCACTGAAACTGCTATGTGTAGCAATTGAATTGAATAGCAAATATTTTGTACAGTGTGCATGAAATATTTTTTTAATTACTCAAGAAAAGTAGGTAGCAGGAAAGCTAATCTAAGACTGGGACTTTAAAACTGCAAACTGTATGAGTAAATTTGCATAAATTATGGAATATGAGAACATTTAAACGCTGGTTGTAAATACCCTCTCCCCATGAGTATGCTATGAGATCTAAATCTTGATGATAATAGTAATAATAATCCTTGCATTTGATCTGGCATTTTCACGTCTTTTAGATGTCCCAAAGCGCTTCACAGAATATACTGTAAAGTGAATTAACTGTATATTAGTGGGCGAACGCGGCAGCCAATTGCGCACAGCAATGTCCCACAAACAGTCGTAGATTGAAAATGATCAATTTATTATTGTTTTTGTTTTTTGGAGAGATTATTATTAGGCGTGTGATTGTACGAATAAAGCAATAGTTGTCATCCAAATGTGTTAAACTGTCACACCAGGAAGGAAGAAATGAACTGTATCTGACATACTGTGTGGGAATTAATGCTTTTGTTAATTGAATTCAACAGTGCTCATTTTCAGTCCAGTTCTGGAGAAGGAATTATTTTAGATGTGAATTGTGATAAAATAAAATTGATCACTCAACTCCATGGTTGTTTGTGAGACATTGCTGTATGCAAATTGACTTTCACATTCACCCACAAAATGCAGTCACTACATTTTACACTATCCTGTGCAGAACATTTTACAACATGATAAGGCGCTGTATCAAATGCAAGCATCATCATGAGTTTAAAAGCCATTTAACTGTGTAAATATCTTTGTTTCAGCGTTTTGCTGCTGTCATCATGAGAATCCGAGAGCCTCGTACAACTGCTCTTATTTTCAGCTCTGGAAAAATGGTGTGCACTGGTGCAAAGAGGTAGAAAATGGATTTTAATCCTTTTTATTTTGATGCATTGGAATAAAATTGTATTTGATAATCAACTCTCGTGTACGTAATACTGCCATAACCCGCCAGATGGCAGTACCTATCGGGAACAGGTGCTGTCAGCAGTCGGCTTATGGCAGTAAAGTCGTTTGCTTTTCAGTTCACGGTGTTTTGAATTTGATCCTGGCATCTTTATCAATTTCAGGCAATACATTAAGTCGTTTAGTTTCTTTTTGTTGGATATTTTTTCTGGTGCTGTAAGACTAGTTTTTCCTAGGAATCCATGTTCTCATCCAAAAATCAGCTTGGCTCAAGTCCTCCAGGTCAGTTGCTAAGAATTTGTATTTGAATCTGCTATATGAAACTTCCCAATGAATATACCTAATGCACAACTGCATGAATATTGTGCTCTTATTGCGCGTTTTGATACACAAAATCACAGAAACTTTATGGAATAAGGCTTTTAGGCCATTGGATCTCATCCCTCCAGAATTCCCCTCACAGCATTAATTGATTTTTGAATGAGGACAGAGTCCTGACATCTACCATTCAGGTTTGTCCGACTTAATATTTTACTACCTGATGGTTGGGAGTCTGATATTATCTAAGATATTTTATTTGACCGCACCCTCAGTGAATGTTTGGTAGCATCGCTAATCAGTTTAATGTGAGAGACTAACAGCATGTTTCATATTGCAGTGAAGAACAATCACGGTTAGCTGCGAGGAAGTATGCCAGAGTTGTCCAGAAATTAGGATTCCCAGCTAAATTTCTGGATTTTAAGATTCAGAACATGGTGGGCAGCTGTGATGTGAAGTTTCCTATTCGGCTGGAGGGCCTGGTGCTTACTCATCAGCAATTCAGCAGGTAAATATTGTAGAAAGAGAGGCTTCAGGACAAATTTAGGTATTGGATTTCAATTCAAATAGATATGACAAATTTTTGTTTTGTAGGAAAGAACTGACTTGCATTTCTATCATATCTTATCTCATCGATACCTCAAAGAACTTTACAGCTTGCCCTCAAATACAGTCACTACACTTCACAGTAAAATCCTGTTGAAGTGTTTTGACACGTTTCGACAGTTTGATAAGGTGCTGTATAAAAAGCAAGGATTAATATTGTATTATGTTTTGGCAGACATTTGTACTAACCTATCATGGTTTTGCATAGCATACTGTAGCACAGACCTCTCATCTGTGCTGGTGTTTGTCCTCCATGTAAGCCTCCACTTATCACTGCTTTTCCACTGCCCCTCTTCCCTTCTCCCTCGTGTGTATCAAGTTTCCTCTTACATCCATTGATGAATGATACTGTCAATTCCATTCATTATATTAAATTATTTTCATTATTTTATATATTGCCATTCATGTCGGGAGGAAGCCCCAAAGTATTTATCAGTATTGCTCGGCACTGAGCTCAAGATTTGACATCGGTCTTGAACCCACAACCTTTTCTCCCAGAGGACAAAATGCTAACACTGACCCAACTGGACAGTCAAAAGTGCAAAGATCATTAATAATAATACAATTAGAAATACAATGTGCCTTGCAAAATGGTTCTTAATCTGAATCTTGCCTCTTGTTCCATACCATTGTAAATTTTCTTTTTCATGGCATAACTATCCTTTTGTTTCTGAGATTGCCAGTTTTGAAACCTTTTTTCAGCTAAAGATCATCTTATATAACACAAAGTAATGAGATGTGTTGATCATATCCTAATTCAAAACCTAACTTGATATATAATGTGTTGATTTTTCGACATATAATTCAGTTAAACTTGTTTTTATTTCTTTGTAGTTACGAGCCAGAGTTATTTCCTGGATTAATCTACCGAATGATCAAACCAAGAATTGTGTTGCTAATATTTGTGTCTGGAAAAGTTGTATTAACTGGTAAGTTCTGTCACTTTGATAGCTAATCAGAATTTTGTTTTCACGCTCGAATGATGATCAAAAATGAAATATTACCTGTATAAATACAACTTAATAAATAACAGCCAGAATGGATCTCATCACCTCATAGACTTTAGAGTAGATGACATTTCACGTTCTGGACATTTGAATTTGATTGAAAAGATGGAAGCAGAGGATTGCTGTTAGAGAGAGGTCAAACTGGGGGAATGTATTAAGTGTGGTTCCTTGTAGGGTCTTTACTGGGACCCTTCTTGTTCCTTGTATATATTAATGACCTGGATTCTCAGACCCAATGTAAGGTAATACAGTTTACATTTATATGGTACCATTCACTTCAGGCATGTCTCAAAGCGCTTTGACGGTACTGGCTGTGCACCTGAGTTGGGGTGGGAGTTGAATTTGCAGATGACACCAACTTGGGTGGGCAGTGTGAAATCAGGAGGCAGCAAAAGTCCTGCAAAGAGAACTTGATAAAGTGTGCACGTGGGCTGCTGCTATTGAAAGGCACTGCATGTCGAAAGTAAGGAAGCACAAATACTCCATGGATAGAGAGAACCTCCAAGAGATGCTTCGGAATTCACCAAAGATGGTAAATTGTCATGAGGATTGTGAAAGAATGCAGGAGGACAAAATTAGGCTAGTAATAATAATAAATAATAACCCTTGCATTTGATATAGCACTTTTCACGTCTTCTCGACATCTCAAAGCACTTCACAGAATAAACTAAAGTGAATTGACTATATTTGTGGGCGAAATGCGGCAGCCAATTGCGCACAGCAGTGTCCCACAAACAGTCGTAGATTGAAAATGACCAATTTATTATTGTTTTTGTTTTGGAGGGATTATTATTAGGAGTGTGGAGTAAGGAAACTTGCCCAAGGCTTCGCCCTGCCTGGAATTGAACCCAGGTGTCTGCTTGCAAGGCGAGTGCTCTAACCACTGAGCTACAGGACTCCACAAGTGGGGGGAGGAGGGGGTGGAGAGATGCAATTCAGTGTTGAAAAATGTGAATATTGGAAGTAGCATAGTTAAAGGAAATGCAAGAGAACTCTGAAAGTGCTGCTGACTGTGGGCGCTGCCCAGAAGTGTGTTACTTGGCTTCTGGCACTAAACATGCCTTACTTCCAGGTTGTAGAATTGTAAAAAAAATTCTTTAGAACAAAAAGGAATTCCTGTAATCAATTTGATGCATTTTTCTTATGTGTTTCCCTGTGTTCTAATTAGTCTACAATATTTTTAGGTGCAAAAGTACGTGCAGAAATCTATGAAGCATTTGAAAACATCTATCCAATTTTAAAAGGTTTCAGAAAGACTACATAATTTTACTCGTGATGACCTCATAATTTAAGGGCCCTTTCACTTCGCTGCTTGTGGTACAGCTGATGTATTTTCTGTTGGGACTCCAATGTGGCAATTCTGTGGGATATGATGCACAGTTAATATCTGTAACAATATTTTAAGAGTTAAAATAGTACTTTTTTAAAATTGCGGTGTTTTCATTGTTGTATGGTTGTTTTTTTTTAAATCATCGATTATCTGAAGCTTACTCGGACGTTCACTTTCATTTTGGATTTCATCGACCGATGCAATATTTTGTTTGCATTGTTAATTTATATTCAACTTTTATATTAAAAAAAAGTAAGCCATGTCACGGCATTAGTTGATGCGCAGGTTATTTTTTATTCACTTTTACTTAAATATTCAGCTTTTTCTAAAGCAATGATCCGAGTGTTTCAAAATTGACAATTGAGATGTAACAGGCATTTTTACAATAAACGTTTTTTCCACTAAATGTGCCGGCTAATGTGGTTTATTGCCAGGGAATCCCACGTTTAATATTGATGCTAGATTACTAGATTCATTTTAGCTGTAAATTAAACAGTTTAGTACAAACATTTACCCTTGATTTAAAATTGAATATAGTCAAAATTATGTCTTCCAGCACCCTAAACTGACACATTCAAAATGTGACAAGTGAATTGCACCTTAATCATTTTTTTAAAAATATATTTTTCACTCCAGACTTTTGGAATATCCTGGAATAGTTCAATTGTACTATTGGATTAAAGTAGCACATCAGCTAACTTATTGTTAACGAGCTATTGACTGTGGTCCCTTGAATATCTGGTCCATGCCAACAATTGACACTTATGTAGTGTACTCGTCTAACTTAGTCTACCTCTTGGTGCCACCATTGGTGGATGGGTTTTCTGAATTCTACCTCCGTAACTTATGGAACTTCTTCCCTTTCCCCCTGCAACTCGCCCTCCCCTCCTCTATCTTGAAGACCCGCCTTAAAACCTATCTCTTAACCGCACCTCCTCTATACCTTCTCTGTTCTCACCCCGCCCCACACCCTCTCAGTGTCTGTTCCCACCACTGTAAAGTTCTCACAGTATTGTACGTGAAAGGTGTTTTATAAATGCAAGTGTTGTTACTTTGCAGAAAGCTTTTATGTAGGAAGGTGTCAGCCTGTCTCAATCAATAGCACTCTCGTCTGAGTCAGTTTGAGCCCCCACGTCGGGACTTTGAATTCTCTGACACTCTGGTGCAGTGCTGTGGGAATGCTTTATTGGTGATGAAGTTAGCTCACCCTGCACATAGGATGGGAAACTGACCTGCCTATTCAGGGGGGGATCCCTTAACATCACCTGAATCACATGGCAGATGGGACCTGAGTTCAAAGACTCAAAGGAATGTTGATCTTGAAATAAATACTATATTTGTGCTTAACAAAATCGATGATGTAGAGTGAATGCTATATTGTTAAAAAGGCTACATACAAATGTATGGATAAATTGTGGTCCCTGTGGCACTCCTGGGATTGATCTTCCAGCATGGATCACTGTCAGACGATTGTCTCAAAATGCCCATCTGTGGAGGGAATCTCCTGGCATGGGATCTCGATTGCAGAAAGCTCCATGTCACCTCTTCCTTTATCCTGGAAACACCTTGCTCCTCCCTAGCAAGGAGTGCACTCTCCTGCCTGCAAACCTCAGGCTGCGCACTAATCAATGCACAACAATTTACACATAAGCACTTTTCACTTTGGGTGGAGCCTGTTTGTCGTCAGAGGTAATGTTACCCGGATCCTCCCGTGATGTGGAAGGTTTCATGCTGCCTTGTTGCTGTTCAGGGTATCTCTTGGAATGACTGGGTAAACAAATGTGTAACTCCTGCATCTTGTTCACGTTGCTTCAGCATATTGATTCGTCTGAATCTCAAAACATTTCAACACCGCTTTCAAAATGTTTTCATTCCTTCAACCAAAGTAACAACCACTTCCTTATCTTCCAACCTCTCCTTAAAAATTCTCATTTAACATTCCCCCAAAATCTTCCAGCCCTTTTGTCTCAGACATCTCCTCCCTTCCATCTTCCCTCAGCCTCTGCTCCTCTGAACACTGCCTCCTGGGTGACTTGAAACCTCTACTTCCTTTTCTTGCTCCAGTTCTGCCAATTTCATCGCTCTTTGTCAACCTCTCCCTCCACACCAACTCTGCTACCCAAATTCATGGCCTCCCCCTTGACCTGGTGATCACCTGTGGCCTTGCGATCTTGGACGTCACCATCTGTGATAAAGCCATTTTGGACCACTATCTAATCAGGATCACGTGGTCCGCGACCTTGCCATTCTGCTTGAGTTACATACATCAATCGAGTCCAGCACTTAACCTCCACAACATTGCCAGTTTATGCTTTACTGCATGGCTGCCTTGTATAATCATTAGCTTACTTATTAACTTTTCCCCAGCAGCACAACCGTGACCCTTTAAACAAACTTCTGTTGTGAGAATAGCAGCTGATCTCAACTGGGTCAGACTCTGGTGCTTCTCTCACTTCTACACCTGTTTTTGCCCTATCAATGTGGACTCTGCCTCAATCATCATTCCCATATACCAACTACTCTGCATGAAAACATTTCTCCTAACCCTTGTTTACTAACTATCTTAAATTGATGCCTTTTAGTACTGCAGACCCGCCTGGCTCAGGAACTGAGCAAGAGACCATTATGGAGGATTGACTCAATTCCGAAATTCCATTGCCAAGTATGTTACCTTGGAGACAGTTCAGCTCCAAGGATACTCCACTCATCTCTCCCCCCCCCCCCCCCCCCCCCCCCCAGAGGGTAGTCACTGTCTGGTCATCTCACATCCAACAAGCACCGGTTTGATGGCCTGAGGGTGGATGGCAGATACCAAGAACTCCCTATGAGCTTGTGGGTGAGTAGCACAGGTGAGCAGGAAACACATTAGAGCATTGCAACCGGCCTCCTGCCTACAGCTCAGACACGCAACTCTAAAGCAATAGTTCCTGAGCAATAGTTCCACCTGTTGGAGAAGAGGAGTTTGCAAACCAAACAAGGTGAATTCCAAGGGCATGATCACACATGAACGTATGTTCAAAAACCCAGACTTCAGGTAATGCTTTCATCCCAACCTCAGAATTTCCTCATCAGATGGACTTCTGCCTTTGGTGTCTCTCATGCACACATCTATCATAGTATATCCGAACACAAAATTGGTCAGTATAGTGATGTGGAGAAGCTCTCTGAGCCGCCCTCATGACCTGTCAGCTGCTGTTTGGAGCAGTCCATTCAACACAGAGGACACAGCACAGTGCTTACAAAACTACACAGCCCACACAGCTGTAATCACCTGCCCGCTGCTCTCTGAGCTGACCAGACTGCCCCACGGTTTGTTTGCTCTGCTGTATTTGTGCGTGTGGTGTGTGTGCGTTGTGTGCTATGCGCTGTGTGTGCTGCATTTTGTGTTTTATTCAGAACTGTGCAGCTCGGATCCTCTCCAGTACCAAGCTCTGTGAACTGCCATCCTCACTTGGCTCCCCATTCCTCAGAGGACCGAGTTTAAAATCCTTGTCCTCAATTTTAAAGCCCTTCCATGGGTTTGCTCCTTCCTACCAGCTCCATATTCAAAAAATCCAGCTCATTCAGAACTCTGCCGCTGGCATACTTACCTGAACCAAACTCCGTACCCACATCTCGCCAGTTCTGGCCAGGCTCCACTGGCTCCCAATCACCGAACGGATCGACTTCAAGATCCTCACATTCATTTTCAAATCCCTTCACTCCCTGGCACCTCCCTACCTACTTGCTCCTCGATCCACCACATGGTGCATCTGCTCAACTGGCACCGGCCTCCTGCTTTTCCCTCACTCCTTAATAATAATAATCCTTGCATTTGATATACCGCTTTTCACGTCGGGAGGACGTCCCAAAGCGCTTCACAGAACACACTGTAAAGTGAATTGACTGTATATTTGTGGGCGAACGCGGCAGCCAATTGCGCACAGCAATGTCCCACAAACAGTCGTAGATTGAAAATGACCAATTTATTATTGTTTTTTGTTTTGGAGGGATTATTATTAGGAGTGTGGAGTAAGGAAACTTGCCCAAGGTTTTGCCCTGCCTGGAATTGAACTCAGGTCTCTCGCTTGCAAAGCGAGTGGTCTAACCACTGAGCTACAGGACTCCACAGGACTCCTTCCGCTCCACCATTGAAGGTCGTGCATTCAGCCACGGAACACTCTGGAACACTCTTCTTCAATCCCTCCGCCTTGCCCCCTCTCCCCATTTTCAAGTCCCGCCTGAAAACCCTCCTTTTCGATCTTGCTTACGGTCACCTCCCCCCCCCCCACTCCCCCGGCTCGGAGTCAGGCTCCTCCACTGTTCAAGGCTCTGAGACGCCACCCTGCGTGGGGGGTGCTATATAAGTGAACTTGTTGATGTACCTCTGTGACCTATTGAAACCATACCAACCTGTCTACATTGGGGGGCACTGGCCCGCTTTGTGTCCCTGCCCCACCATTTGCGGTCCGGCCTTCAGCTTTTCTGCCCCATCCTCTGGAACTCTACCCCAGAGACCCTACGTACCTCCTTCAAGGTTCATCTTGAGACTTTCCTCTTTGATTGTGCTTTCAGCCACTCTCCCACCCCTCTACCCTCCACCCTTCTACCCTTCACCCCTCTTGATTCCAACCCCTAGCTCGGGTGTAAACCCTTAACTGTCCAGGGTTTGATACGTCCTTCTGACGTGAAAGGCTCTATATAAATGTAATTTTGTTGGTCTGTTTGCTGTGCGTGTATGTGTATACTGTGGCAAACCATTGTATGTATATGTACTGTGTGTATGTGACTTTGTATACTGAAAATACTGTGTGTATAGTATTTGTATATTGTGTGTGGTGTATATATTGTGTGTATACTGCAAATACTGTGGTGTTTGTGTATTGTATGTACTCTGCGTATATAGTGTGTGTTTGTTTACTGTGCATATAGTGTGTATATATGTATGTATATATTGTGTGTGTGTATAATGTGTGTGTACTGTGTCTATACTGTATATATAGATACTATACTGTGTGTGTATACCAGTAAACCTCACATAAGTTGTATCAGTTGGGACCATACATTTATGACTTATCCGAAATATGAGTTATACCAAACTTACATAGACTGTAAACTCTTGAATGGGGCTTGGGCAGATGTATGACGTAGGTGATTATACGATTTATACAGATCAGACTTGTGTGAGTTTTATTGTATTGCTGTGTGTGTACTGATACAGTGTGTAGATATACTGTATACATGTACTGTGTGTATAGACTGTGTGTGTATTGATACTAGTAATAATAATAATCCTTGCATTTGATATAGCGCTTTTCACGTCAGGAGGACGTCCCAAAGCGTTTCACAGAACAATTGACTGTATATTTGTGGGCGAACGCGGCAGCCAATTGCGCACAGCAATGTCCCACAAACAGTCATGGATTGAAAATGACCAATTTATTATTGTTTTGTTTTGTAGGGATTATTATTAGGCTCTGTGTGGAGTAAGGAAACTTGCCCAAGGTTTCGCCCTCTGCCTGGAATTGAACTCCGGTCTCTCACTTGCAAAGCGAGTGCTCTAACCACTGAGCTACAGGACTCCGACACTGTGTACATGCACTGTGTGTATAGCCTGTGTGTTGGTACAGTGTGTGGATATACTGTGTAATGCACTGTGTGTATGGCCTGTGTATGTGTGTGTGGATATACTGTGTAATGCACTGTGTGTATAGCCTGTGTGTGTGTTGGTACAGTGTGTGGATATACTGTGTAATGCACTGTGTGTATGTGTGTGTGTGTATATACAGTGTGTCCTGATCTCGCGATATTCACCGCCCGTCCGTGACGTCAGTCGCTCACTACGTGGTGACGTCACGACGCGCAAACCACCTGACGTCCGGTCACCGACAGAGAGAGAGAGAGAGAGAGAGGTGAGTAATACAGACAGAAAAATACAGAGAGAGATATATATATTATATATATATATACACTATGTGGAGAGGGAATAGATAAAGAGAAATAAAGAGAGGGATAAAGGGAGAGTGAGGGGGGATAGCGGGTGTGAGAGAGGGGGAGAGGAGTGTGACAGAGAGAGAAAGAGATAGAGAGAGTGTGGGGGTGGTGAGGGCTAGAGAGGGGGACACAGAGAGGGGGGGACAGAGAGGGGGGACACAGAGAGGGGGGGACACAGAGAGGGGGACACAGAGAGGGGGGGACACAGAGAGGGGGACACAGAGAGGGGGGACACAGAGGGGGGGACACAGAGAGGGGGGACACAGAGAGGGGGGACACAGAGAGGGGGACACAGAGAGGGGGACACAGAGAGGGGGGACCAGAGAGGGGGGACACAGAGAGGGGGACACAGAGAGGGACACAGAGGGGGACACAGAGGGGGACACAGAGAGGGACACAGAGGGGGACACAGAGAGGGGGACACAGAGAGGGGGGACACAGAGAGGGGGGACAGAGAGAGGGGGAAACAGAGAGAGGGGGAAACAGAGAGGGGGACACAGAGAGAGGGGGACACAGAGAGAGGGGGACACAGAGAGAGGGGGGAACAGAGAGAGGGGGACACAGAGAGGGGGAACACAGAGAGGGGACACACAGAGAGGGGGGGACACAGAGAGGGGACACAGAGGGGGGGGACACAGAGAAGGGGGGACGGGGGGGGACAGAGAGAGGGGGGGAGACACAGAGAGGGGGGGACGGGGGGGGACAGAGAGAGGGGGGAGACACAAGGAGGGGGGACACAGAGAGGGGGGAGACACAGAGAGGAAGAGATAGAGACTGGCGGGGGGGGCGGAATTAGAGATAGAGAGGGGGAGACAGAGACAGGAAGAGATAGAATGGGGGGACAGAGAGAGGCAGAGACAGAGAGAATGGGGAGGGGGGGTGTGAGAGATGGGTGGGGGGGGAGGGGAACAGGGAGAGAAAGATAGAGATTGGGGGCGGCTGTGAAAGAAAGGGAGGGGACAGAGGGAGGAAGAGATAGAGAGAATGGGGGAGACAGAAATAGGAAGAGATAGAGAGAGTGGGAGGTGGGGGAGTTGTGGTGAGAGATAGAGAGGGGGAGAAAGACAGGAAGGGATAGAGAGAGTGGGAGGGGTTTGTGAGAGATTCAGAGGGGGGTGGGGGAACAGAGAGAGGAAGAGGTAGCGTGAGACGAGGGGTAGGAGAGATAGAGAGGGGACACAGAGAAGAAGAGATAGAGAGAGTAAGATGGGGGGGGTGAGAGTTACAGAGGGGGAGCAGAGTGAGGGAAATAGAGAGATTGAGAGAGGGGGAGTTTGATAGGAGATAGCAGGGAGATATGGAGGGGGTTACAGATGGAGACCGGTAGAGAGAGAAAGAAATGGAGTATGTCTTGAGAGAGAAAAAGAGAGTGTGTGCCACTCTCTGTGAGATACATAGTGTAGATAGTGGGAGGAGGAAAGGGTTAGTGAGAGAAGGAGAGTGTGACAGGAGATAGACATTGACGGGAATAGAGATGTAAATAGACAGTACAGAGAGAGAAAGACGAAGTATGCAAAAGAGAGAAACGCACACAGTATGCAAGAGAGAGGGAGGGTGCGGGAGAGAGAGGGAGGGTGCGGGAGAGCGAGAGTGAGGGTGCAGGAGAGCGAGAGGGAGGGTGCGAGAGAGAAAGGGTGTGCGAGAGACGGGGTTTGCCAAAGAAAGGGAGGGAGTGTGCAAGAGAAAGTGAGATGTGTGTGAGAGAGAGAGAAAAGGAGTGTGTAAGGGAGGGAGTGTGAATGGGAGGAAGTGCGAGAGAGAGGGGGAGTGCGAGAGAGGGAGTATGTGAGAGAGAGAGACAGATTGTGCGAATATGAGAGACTGAGTGTGTTAGAGAGAAAGAGAGAGACAAGTCATAGACGGGGAGAGAGTGAGTGAGGCTAAACTGGGGGTGGGGGTTAGAGAGGGAGTGAATGAGGCTTTGAGCACTTGATAGTATTAATGATTGTAAAATTCCCTGACAGACGGTGTATCCCTATCGTATCTATGGTGAACCATGAGTAACAGCCACCAGTTACGGCCACGCACGTCAGCCGGGGAGATTGACCATGTGGACATGCTGTCAGAGCACGTGGGGGCTCTGCTCCATGATGGCGAGTACAGCGATGTCACCTTTCTGGTGGAAAAGAAACGCTTTCCTGCTCACCGTGTGATCCTGGCAGCGAGATGTCAGTATTTTAGGTCAGTCCCTTCTTTCAGGGTTCAGTGCTGGGGTGCGGTTTCTCTCTATGGCAATAGGCCAGGTTTGGTATAATAATAATCCTTGTATTTGATATGGCGCCTTATCACCTTGTTGAGAAGTCTCAAAACCCTTCACAGAATGTATTGTAAAATGGATTGACTGTGTATTTTGTGGGTGAAACGTGGTATCCAATTGCACACAGCAATCCACCCAGAGACTGCTGTGGATTGAGTGACCACATTGTTTTTGTTTGGTTTGGATTTTTTGGAAGGACTATTACCCCTAGAAAGCGATCCACCAATTGACTAACAACTGGGTTCCTACTTATTGCTAGGTAAATAGAGGTGTGACGAGTAAGGAAACTTGTAGTTCAACACCCTGGGTAGTTAGCAATTCCAATTGAAGCTTTTGAAGCTGAGTACAACAACAAAATTACATTTGCCTTTCATATGGGGAGGACGTCCCAAGGAGCCTCGGGTCGGGATCGGGGAGGGTGGAGGGCAAAGCACGGTCAAAGAGGATGGACTTGAGATGGGTCTTGTCGGAGGCAAAGGAGGGGGCGAGGCGGAGGGTCTGCGGGATGGAGTTCCGGAGGGTGAGGCCAGAGTGGCTGAAGGCCTGCCCGCCAATGGTGAGGTGGGCGAGGCGGGGGATGTGAAGCAGACATTCTGTCAGGACAGCAGTGGTCTTGAAGTCAAGAGACAGAGGCAGAGAGATAGAGTTGGCTATCATCTGCGAATTTGACCCCACGTCTGGATGATTTCACCAAGAGGGAGCATATAGATATTGAACAGGAGGGAACGAAGGACAGAGCCCTGAGGAACGCCACACAAGACAGAGTTGGGGGCTAGAGGAGAAACCATTTGTGGAGAGGAAGTGGATACGGTGTGGAGGTACGATCTGAACCAGTCAAGGACAGAACTACGAAGGTTGAGGTGAGAGGAGAAGCGGTGGTTGAGGATAGAGTGGTCAACAGTATTGAAGGCAGCAGAGAGGTCAAGGGGGATGGGGAGGCAGAGGGAGCCCTTGTCGCAGATGGACAGAATGTCATTTGTCACTTTGACCAAAGCTGTTCCTGTGCTGTGGGCAGCAGGAAACCCGATCGGAGGAGTTCGAGAAGGGAGTGGCAAGAGAGAAAGGAGCGAAGTGGGGATGCAATGACTCATTCCAGGACCTTGGAAAGGAAAGGGAGGTTGGAGATGGGGCGGTAGTTTGAGAGCAGGGATGGGTCCAGGGAGGGTTTTTTAAGGATAGGAGTGATGACGGCATTTTTAAAGGTGTGGGGATGGTGCCAGTGGACAGGGAGAGGTTTATGTCTGAGTGGAGGGGCAAGGACATGAAGCTGGGAGGCAAGGAGAGGGGTAGGATGGGGATGAAGGAGCAGGTGGTCGGTTTCATGTGGGTTATAGTGGTGATATAGTGGGACGTCCTTCCGATGTGAAAGGCGCTCTATAAATGGAATCTTGTTGTTGTTGTGATGAGAGACGAGTGGGAGACAGGTTTAAAGGTGTGGAGGGAGGGAGGGATGTCTAGGGACCAGGGTGTGAGGGGGAGATGGGGAGGGTGCATTTGACGGAAGGCCATAGGCAGCTGAGTGGATCCCCTCGACTTTGGTTTTGAAGAAGCCCAGCATCACCTCGCAGTTGGCGTTGGAGGAGAGGATGGGCGGAGGAGCTGGTTGGTGGTGGAGAAGAGGAGCCTGGTGTTGTCCTTGGCCTCCAAGATTGTCTTGGAATAGAACGACGGTTAAGTGAAGGCGAGGGCGGAGCAGTTGGATTTGATAAGATCCAGCCAGATCTGCCGATGGACCGTTAAGTTGGATTTGAGCCAGGTGCGTTCAGTGGCATGCACCTGTGCCTTAAGGGAGCAGAGGTGGCTGGTATACCAGGGTGACTTTCATGAGTAGGAGACGGTTCAGGAATGAGAGGAGCAAGGGCATCAAGAGTGGTGGAAGGGGAGTTGTGGAGAAGAGTGACGGAGGAGGATAGATTATTGCGGGAGGAAGCCCAGAGCAGGAGGAGTTCAGATGACTCCAGGGCAGCGGGGGGGGGGGGGAGGATTTTTTTCGAGGGGCGGTAGGAGATGGAGGTGGGTTGCGTGGCGGTGGGGAGAGGGATTGAGGAGTTAAGGAAGATTAAGTGATTGCCCGAGATGGCTTTTGTTGGTGATGGTGGGGTCGGAGACGGTGATGGACCAGGTCGAGGGAGTGACCGCGGACGTGGGTGGCGGAGTGGAGGTGGATGTTGAGTAACTTCTAATCTAAGTAATGGTTGAATTTCTCCCTCTACAGGGCTTTGCTGTATGGTGGAATGAGGGAGTCACATCCCCAGGCTGAGATTCCCCTGGTAGATACGACGGCTGCAGCGTTTAGTATGCTGCTGAAGTACATCTACACGGGCCGAGTCTCACTGAGCAACGAGAAGGAGGAAGTCTTGCTGGATTTTCTTAGTCTTTCCAATAAGTATGGATTCCCTGAGCTAGAAGATGCCACATCGGATTACCTTTGTACAATCTTGAACATTAACAACGTGTGCATGGTTTATGACGTGGCCAGTCTTTACTCTCTGGCCAAACTTAGTAACACCTGCTGTCTATATATGGATAGAAGTGCCAAGGCAGTTCTAACCAGTGATGGATTCCTCACTGTGTCGAAGGTAAGATTAACTGTAGCAATCTGGAAGTCGATCATTTCTGTTTTGAAATACAGCACGTAATCTTGTTTTTCTCCTAAACCCCTTGATGTCAGCTGCTGATTTCAGTGGAGTTCACTATTGATCATCATGGTTTGTTGATCGTTGGGATGAACTGCACAACTTGTTTGTTGTCTCCATGTGTATGAGGACGACACTCAAATCTACTTCTCCTCCCGCAGCGACTCCAGGTCCACTGGTGTTCTGTCAGCTTGCTGGTCAGACATCAAGGCCTGGATGAGCGTCACCTTTCTGCAGCCTGAAGGTTCACGAGATGGGAGTCATCCTCTTTGGCTCCAATCAATGTCTTCTCACCCATGGCTCCGACCTCCACTTCCCCAGCCTATCCCTCAAACTTACTGAACCTGAGAGTAAGCTAGGTGTTGGGTTCGATCCACAGCTGTCCTTCCTACCCCACATTGGTCCCTAACCAGGACCCGTTTCCTCCACCTTTGTCACATTGCCTGCCTCCGATCGTACCACCCAATGCAACCGAAACCCTCATCTACGCATTTGTCACCTCCCTCCTTGATTATTCCAATGCCTTCATTGCTGGTCTCACAAAAGAAGTTAACTCAAAACTCCGCCACCCGTATCCTTACCTGCACCAAACACCATACCCCCATTACCTCTGCCCTTGCCAGGCTCCCTATAACAGAACGGATTGATTTTAACATCCTCACACTTGTTTACCAATCACTTCATGCCCTGGCATTTCCCTACCTCTCTGAGCTACTTGTACCCCACTCCACTACCTACTGCATCTGCTCGGCCAGCCTCCTGCTTGTCCCTCGTTCCCTTCGCTCCATCGTTCAGGCAATCCTGATCTAGGTTACTTACCAAATACACAGTCACTACACTTTACAGTAAATCCTGTGAAGCACTTTGAGACATTCTCCGAATGTGAAGGTGCTGCATCAGATGTAAGGATTATTATTAATTATAATCCCACAAACAACATGAAGTGGGTGACCAACTTTATCTGGTAGTCAGTACACTGGGAGAAACTCCTTTTTTTGATGGTGAATTGAGCCGCAAAGTCTTTAACATCCATTTGAACAGGCAAACAACACCTCAGTTTAACTCTCTGAAGGACAATGCAGTGCTCCCCTAGCACTACAGCCTAGATGTGACCTCAAAAGTTCTGACGTTCTACAAGGGGCTTGAACTACACTCTCTTCCCCCATCCCGCACCGATTTGATTGCCCAATTTTTTTGGCCCTACTCTGCCTCCACCTCCTTTGTAGGGAAGGCAGAGTCACTGAGCTTGGCAAGAGAAGTCCAGGAACATGTTTCACTTCTGATTGAAAGCTGTAATGTACGTTTCTCTGTGTTTTCTGTTTCAGGCTGCTCTGCTGAGCATCGTATCTCGAGATTCCTTTGCAGCTCCTGAAAAGGACATTTTTCTGGCCCTGGTGAATTGGTGTAAACGGAACCCGGATGAGACACACCCTGAGATCCTCCAAGCAGTTAGGCTGCCCCTGATGAGCCTGACTGAACTGCTGAACGTGGTCAGGCCAGCAGCGCTGCTCTCTGCAGACACCATTTTAGACGCAATCAAAATCCGCTCTGAGAGCCGAGACATGGAACTTAACTACAGAGGCATGCTGAGTAAGTACATCCCTGTAACCTTCCCAGTTACTGGCAATGAGAACCTTTTTTTTTTTTGCATGTTCCCACTGCCTATATACAGGTACTTTCGGCCATCCTTTCTTGTTCACGCTAATAGTTTACATGATAATAAAAGTAGTATTATTAATAATCCTTCCGTTTGATGTAGCACCTTATCATGTCTGAGGCATTTCATAGCACTTCACAGAATATACTGTAAAGTAAATTGACTGTATATTTTCAGCGGGGCAGCAGTGTTTCACCCACAAAATATATAGTCAATTCACCTTACAATATATTCTGTGAAGCGCTATGAGATGTCTCAAAGACATGATAAGACGCGATATCAAACGCAAAGATCATTATTATATTTTGTGGGCGAAAATCCTTACATTTATACAGCGCCTTTCAAATCAGGTGGACATCTTAAAGCAATTTACTGGATTCACTGTAAAGAGGAGTGACTGTATTTTGTTGGTGAATGGGGCAGCAATTTGAGCACAGCAATGTCTCACGAACAGCTGTTAATTGATAACGGTAACAGGTAATTGACAAATTGTATTTGAGGGATTGTTGGCCAGGACACCAGGAGAGAAACTCTTTTGTCTTTTATCACCTTACTGGGCATGATATTCCACATTCCAATTACTCTCTGAAGGAAAACATTTCTCTTAAGCTCTCCTTTTGCTCCTGTGACTCCCTTGTGACCATCCACCCTTTGGTTGAGAACATTAAATTGAAGCCCCGTGTACCTGTTCAGGTGTATGTTAAGGATCCCATGGCTGTAGTTGAAAAGGGAAGGCAGCTATCCTAACCAATACTCCCCCCTCCAAAAAAAATTGTTCATGGCTGCTTCTGGGACATTGCTGTCCACAAATAAGCTGTCTCGTTCACCCATAATTCACACAGTCACTGCACTTTACAGTATGTCCTATGAAGTGCTTTAGGACATTCTCTCAATGTGAAAGGTGCAACACCAAATGTAAGAATTATTATTTAATAATTATTTTGCAACTTGTACCTCTAGTCTGATCTTTGGGTGGTTTGATTTGGGTCTAATGGTACCTCCCATCAAGCTGTATTTTTAGTGACTCAGTTAAATGATTCAATTTGAAAGCTCCTCACTTCTGCTGTTTGTTCCTACAGTCCCCGAAGAGAACATTGCCACGTTGAAACATGGCGCGCAAATCATTACTGGGGAGCTGAGAGCCTCGCTTCTCGATGGTGACACACAGAATTATGATCTAGACCATGGATTCTCCCGCCACCCCATTGATGATGATTGTCGGTCAGGGATTTGTGTGAAATTGGGGCAGCCGTCCATCATCAACCACATTCGTGTTCTGCTCTGGGACCGTGACAGCAGGTCAGAGGCAGCTCTATATCTTAAGACATAAACTGACAAATTGTACTGTGCTTAACAGCATGAATGAGTCATTAGGACAAGACATTGACTAAGGGAAGTGTATTATCGTAATAATAGACTTCACACAGCTCACTAGGTGTGGGGCAGCTCAGGAATGAGTTATATCGGATGAAAAGATTGAGCTGATTTTCTATTTGGAGTGTTTGAGTGAGATTGTGGAGTCCTGTAGCTCAGTGGTTAGAGTACTTGCCTCACAAGCGAGAGACCTGGGTTTGATTCCCGGCAGGGCGAAACTTTGGCTAAGTGAAAAGTTTCCTTACTCCGCACGCCTATGTTTTCTTAGCAGTAAGGAGAAACCCAGATGTTAGTCGATTTGCGGATCACTTTTCCAGGGGGAATAATTCCTTAAAAAAACTTGGTCGCTCAATCCATGACTGTTTGAGGACACTGCTGTGCACAATTGGCTGCTGTGTTTCATCTACAAAATATACAGTCAATTCACTTTATTCTGTGAAGCGCTTTGAGACATCTCAAAGATGTGATAAGGCACTATATCAAATGCAAGTACCATGGGATATTTAACATTCACCTGAACAGAAACGAATAGAAGCTCAGTTTAATGTCTCATCTTAAAAATGGCACTTCCGACCGTACAGCACACACCCCAGCATTGCATTGGAATATCAGCCAAGTCTGTATGAGTTCCAAGTCGTGATCGAACCTATACAGGAGTCCTGTAGCTCAGTGGTTAGAGCACTCAGTGGTTAGAGCACGCCTTGCAAGCGAGAGACCTAGGTTTGATTCCCAGCAAGGCGAAACCTTGAAGTTTCGTTACTCCACACGCCTGAAAATAATCCCTCAAGAAAATAAGGAATAATAAAATTGGTCACTTCAATCCACAACTGTTTGCGGGATTGGCTGCTGCATTTCGCCCACAAGTATACAGGCAATTTTACAGTCAACTTTACAGTACATTCTGTGAAGCACTTTGAGACGTCTAGAAGACCTGGAAAGCGCAATATCAAATACAAAGATTGTTATTTTATTGTTATAACTTTGGTAACCTTTCCCCCTCCTTCCTCAGCTGCCCAACTCCCAGTTGGCTCTTCGAAGCGTTTTGAGAGATTCCCCTGGCAATGTTATTGTTATTGTGTTACAGCCATTTACACACTATGTTGTGTTACCATGTTTACACAGTGTGCCAGTTGTTTACACATTGTTGTGTTGTACCCGTTTACACACTGCGTTGTATCTCAGCTGTTTACACACTGCATCATGGCCCAACAGTGACATCCTCCTAATGTGAAAAGCACTATATAAATGCTATTTGTTGTTGTTTATTACAGTGATTAAGGTCATGACGCACTTGTGTCATATAGTAACCAGTTACACACCGCATCTCGGAGCAGCCGTCCGTTCACACACTAGGTTGTGTTGTTGCCGTTCACATACCGCATTGTGTCTCAGCTGCTTATACCCTGCTTGTGCACTCGGCGGCATGCCTCAGCTGTCACGTCTCAGCGATTTACACATCATGTCAAAACCATTTCCACTGAGTGATGTTGCAGTCGATTCCACGTGCGTGGTGGTGGAATGGTTTACACACTGGGTGGTGCCCAAGCCATTTACGCGCTGCGGGTGTCACAACCTTTTACACGTTGCATCATGTTACAGCAGTTTACACACTGCATTCTGTGACAGTCCTTTAAACACTGTGTCACATCACCATACTGCATCGTGTCCCTGCAGTTTAAACATGTTGTGGGGTTGCAGCTGTTTTACACACTGTGTCATGTCGCGGCTGTTAACACGTAGCTTTGACCTCACTGCTTCCTCTTATGCCAGGTCCTATTCCTACTATATTGAAGTGTCGATGGATGAGCTGGACTGGATTCGCGTCATCGATCACAGCAAATATCTATGTCGATCTTGGCAGAACCTCTACTTCACCCCACGGGTCTGCAGGTCAGAATTTGTGTGGGGGCAGGTTGGCGGACGGGAGGGAGGAATGTGCATTATATCAGGAGCTCCTCATGTTTATGTGTGAAGTGTAAGGAGTTAACCGCACACGAGTAGCTCAGTAAGCGCCAGTCTTGCACTCTTTCTTTCTGAACAGTCGGGGATTGTGCGCAGCAGACGTGCTGATTAAATTTTCTTCTCTAGTTATTGCCAGCTACATTCCTCCCCTGCGACCTATCTGGTACGTGAAAGAATTTTGTTCGGTAAACGTGTTGAAATTTGTACCAATAAATTCTGATTCTTCCAGCCACTGTGAACGTTCCAATGGCTGTAGTGAGTTTATTATTCCCTCAGTGTGCTACCAGCCCGCACTCCCAATTATTTTTTGTGTGTGACACCTCCTGCATTTCAGCTGAGCTACTTCACTGTATACATTGCTCAAAGCCTCCTCTCACCCCAGAGAGTTCATTACGCAGGAGCCTTTGACTACCCCATCCATCTGCGCTTTCTACCACTAATCTTGGTGCCTTCTTGTGGAGTCCAGTAGCGTGAGGTAGGTGGGGGGGGTTCGGTGGTTTGGGGCTGTTTGAAATCAGTAAGGGCGTGTTCCAGTATTTATCGGATCTATCTTGTGGAGTGATTTAGCATATCAGTTAGTGCGTTCTCCTTGCAAGCGAAAGGGCCGGGGTTCCATTCCCAGGTAGGGCGAAATTTTAGTCAAATTTCCTTATCGCACACATCTCTGTTTACCTAACCCAGTTGTTAGTCGATTGGTGTATCGTTTTCCGGGGGTAATAATTCCTTCCAAAGAGCAAAAAAAATTGGACACTGCTGTACGCAATGGCTGTCGCTTTTCGCCTACAAAATATACAGTGAATTCACTTGTAGTGAGTTTGACCGTGAAGCGCTTTGAGGCAGCTCAACAACGTGATAAGGCGTTAAAATCAAATGCAAGGATTCTTATTATTCCTTGCGGCCGCCCCCTGAGCCCTTACAACCACCACCATCACTTCCACTACCACCGCTACACACTTCAAAGCAGACTGGAGAGATGCTCTTACATGTTATTTTACTGCAGTTTGAGAGAATTTCCTCCAGCAGAGGTCACTGTTATTATGATACACTCAGTCTCACAGATGGAGCCTTTGAGACAATTCTTAACTCTGTGCTTAAACGGCAGCGATCGTCAGTGAGTCACTGAATGGAGAATTGATTCAAACAAGCGACAGAACAGCTCAAACCTTCAGCTCCTGAAAAATAGCCATACCAAGAAATTACTTAGTGTGTATAGACACAAAGTCTCCCACAGTCATTCGGTTTCCATTATTTCCTCTGCTCATCCGCTGGCTCCTACCTCTGTGGCAGGAGCTTGTGGAAGCTTGCACAGGGCTCGAACTCCTGAGGTGCAGGGAATGTTTCTGTGCCCTGTAATGCACCTGCGCTTATTCAATGCGCTGTGAAGCAGGTTCGGTGTATGTTTCAATGCGCTGTGATGTGGCGCATATTTCCATGCATTGTAGATGGATTGAATGTTGCATGTGCTGTGCGTTCCCAGTATTGATGTCCCGAAGCTTTCTCTCTGCCCTGTTTAATAGCTGTCTGGAGATGGATGGTTGGTGTAGCACAACAGCCCCGGTGCCAATTGATAGATAGGTGGTGAGTTAATGAGAGAGAATGTGGGTTGCTGGCTGCTTCACGTGCTGTGTCCCTATCTCATTTTCTCTTAAATGAAGGAATGTATTGCTTTGAAACAATCGATGCAAACTATTAGGTGACACAGCCAGTTACATTCGGTTGCAATTAAAAGCAGCCAAGTGTAGAGAAAGGAAATGAAGCAGTGCATTTTCCTGCTATTTCTCTTTGTATGATTGAAGAAAGTAAAGCCAGGAAAGTCTGTATCAAGCGTTTGTGACATGAGGGGTTCTGGGGTGAGTGGGTCTGAGCCAGATGGGGTGGGCTGTTGGGCAATTCAGTGGCACTCCTTATGATTTCTGTGAAGGTGAATTCAGCAACTGTGAGTGATCTCGAGAGATGTTCTCCGGTCACCCGCCTGCCCCCACACTCCCTGCTCTCCACCCCTCCTGATTCCAACCCCCAGCTCGGGGTCCAAATCCCTGACTGTCCAGCACCTTGGGACGCCCTCTTGACGTGAAAGGCGCTATACAAATGTGATTTGTTGTTGTTGTCCTGTGCTGTGGGAATGGCCCTGGTGCCTCTCACCCACTCCCACCCCCCATTGCTCCCTCCCCCCCGTTGCCCCCTCCCCCTGTTGCCCCCTTCCTCCGTTATCCCCTCCCCCCGTTGCCACCCCACCCCCCTCCCCATCCCGCTCGGTGCCGCCCCTACCCCACCAGTGCTGCCCCTTCCCCCGTGCCATCTCCCCCGTGCCATCTCCCACCCCCTGCTCCCACCCATCCGTACCCCCAACCCCTGGGCCTCTCTCACAGGCCCCTCCCCTGGGCACCCCCCCCACCCCGGTGCCCCCTCTTCCCCCCAGTGCCCCCCCCCCCCAGTGCCCCCTCTCCCCCCAGTACTCCACAACATCATGGTTCGTCTTCCTTTCCATGCAGGTACATCCGCATCGTTGGCACACACAACACCGTCAACAAAGTCTTCCATCTGGTCTCGTTGGAGTGTTTGTTCACCAATGAGCCCTTTCTACTGGACTCTGGAATCCTGGGTAAAGTCACGTGTGTGCGTGTGCGTGTGTGCTTGCCTCCATTTGTCTGCCTACCTGCCTGTCTGTGTGTCTTTATCTGTCTGCCTCTCTCTGTCTGTCTGTCAGTCTGTCTCTCTCTGTCTTGGGACTCCTTTTTCCGTCTCCATCTCTGACCCTCTCTCTCAGTACCTGAGTGGCGGCCAAGTTATTACACCCAGTAACCAGGTACTGTTTGCTCATTACTTGTCTGGCATTACTTGTCATCTGACTTTGTGGTTATAAGATCCACTGTATGTTTTTTCAGTTCCTACCGAGAACGTGGCGACAATCTCTGAGAGCGCCAGTGTTATCGAGGGAGTGAGCCGGAGCCGGAATGCTCTGCTCAATGGCGACACCAAGAACTACGACTGGGACTCGGGCTACACCTGTCACCAGCTCGGCAGCGGGGCCATTGTGGTGCAGTTGGCTCAGCCCTTCATGATTGCATCCATGAGGTAATCACTAATAATCATATTCCTTGCATTTGATATACTATAGCACCAATCACATCTTCGCGACATCTCAAAGCGCTTCACAGAATAAAGTGAATTGACTATATATTTGTGGGCAAAATGCGGCAGCCAATTGCACACAGCGGTGTCCCTCAAACTGGCGTGGATTGAGTGACCAATTGTTTTTTATGGTATTATTACAAACAGTTGTGGATTGAGTGACCAAATTTTTTTTTGAGGGATTATTACCTCTGGAAAAGTGATCTGCCAATCCACTGACAATTGGGTTCCTACTTACTGTTAGGTGAACAGAGGCATGTAGAGTAAGGCTCTGCCCTGCCCGGGAATCGAACCCAGGTCCTCTCGCTTGCGAGGCGAGTACTCTAACTAATACTCTGCAGAACTCCACAAATGTATTGTAAAGTGGTGTATTGACCTTCTATTTTGTGGACGAAATACAAGAAATTACCCAATAGTCGCCAGCGATGTGCGCGACAATCTCACTACAAGCTCTGTGTTCCCACAGGCTCCTGCTCTGGGACTGCGATGATCGAAGCTACAGCTACTATATCGAAGTGTCGAACAACCTGCAGAAATGGACAATGGTTGCGGATCGGACAAAGGTTACATGCAAGTGAGGAGCGTATTGTATTCTGTCAACAATCAGATCAGTATTTTGTGAGGGGGAGTCATCCACATGCACTTTTGCTTGACATGTTCACTGGACCACATCACCCCCTGTGCCGCACCCCCCCCCCTCATCCCCCACCTCTCCGGTGTCCCAGCGTGATAAGGCGCTATATCAAATCCAAGAATCATTATTATTTTATTGCTACCCTCGACTCGCCTCCCCCGAATTCAATCCCACAGCTCAGGTCCAAACCCTCAACTGTCCAGTGGCTTGAGATGACATCCCGGGGTGAAGGGCGCAATTAAATGCAATTTGTTATTATAAGAATGCAATGTCATTTACTTTCTGTTAATCCATACTTTGCTTTTGCTTTAGATCATGGCAAACGATCAACTTTGATCGACAGCCCATGGTGTTCATCAGGATTGTGGGCACGTACAACACAGCTAATGAGGTACGCATATAACTGCAGAAATAAAATAGTTGGGGCTGGGATATACAGGAAACCAGCATGTTCATCGCAAGAAGGGAGCAGTGTGCATGGGAATGTACCAAAGTAGAAAATAATCCTATACCATTCTCCGTCACAACACTCTGTGATACACTCTCACTGTAACTGCAATACACTTACTGTCACAGTGAGAGTGTATCAGTGTCACAGTGAGTGTTTGTGGGGGTGGGTATTGTGACAATGAGTGTGTGGGGCGGTTAATGTCACAGTGAGTGTGGGGGGGGGTAATGTCACTGTGAGTGGGCGGGTAATGTCACAGTGAGTGTGTGGGGGTGGCTATTGTGACAATGAATGTGTGGGGCGGTTAATGTCACAGTGAGTGCGGGGGGGAGGTAATGTCAATGTGAGTGGAGGTGGATAATGTCACAGTGAGTGGGAGGGGAGGTAACACAGTGAGTGTGGGGGGGTAATGTCACAGTGAGTGTGGGGGGGTAATGTCACAGTGGGATTGTGGGGGGTAATGTCGCAATGAGAGTGGAGGGGGGGGGGTTAATGTCACAGTGAGTTTGTGTGGGAGGTTAATGTCACAGTGAGTATGTGTGGTGGGGTAATATCACAGTGAGTGTGTGTGGGGGGGGTAATGTCACGGTCAGTGTGTGGGGGGTAATGTCACGGTGAGTGTGTGTGGGGAGGTAATGTCACGGTGAGTGTGTGGGGGAGTAATGTCACAGTGAGTGTGTGTAAGGGGTAATATCACAGTGAGAGTGTGTGGGGGTGTAATGTCGCAGTGAGTGTGTGGGGGATAATGTCACAGTGAATGTGTGTGGGGGGTAATGTCACAGTGAGTGTGTGTGGGGGGTAATGTCACAGTGAGTGTGTGGAGTGTGTCGAGCTCCTCCAGTTTCCGCCCTGCCCACAACACAGAGACGGCACTTATCAAGGTCACATACAGGAAGGTATTAATATCCCTGTGAAGTATTAATATTGTCGCTCCCTGTACCAGGTGTTTCACTGTGTGCACTTTGAGTGCCCGACACAGATCAGCGTGCAAACACAGCATCCTGAAACCAGCGAGCAGGGCTCTGGCCAGAGAGATCCGCAGAAAAGGTTGAGGCAGATTCGATCTCCGGGAGCATCATCTCAGTCGGAAACCAGACCCCAATCCGGTCACTGAGCCACTGGCAGGAAACTGGGAGAGCTGGAGGGATCGAGGTGGAGACGAGTGGAGAGGTGGAAAGAATGATGGGGCTTGGGGACAGGGGGGAGGGATTCAGGCACCGATGGGAACCGGTGGGCAAGTTACAGTGAGGGCTAAGGGGGATCGAGGCCTTGTTCAAGTAGCATTGCGCTGTAACCTCAACCTTTCACCTGCTGTTTGTGAGTGTGTGGTGCTCCCTCACCTGCTGCAAATCAGCGCAGCTCCAGTGGGAATCGGACGCCCCGGTGGGAATTTTATGGCTTGTCAGAGTAGAAGATCCAAGGGCTCACTTCATGTCATCCCTTTCCATTCCCAGCTGTGGAACCAGCAACAGCCATCCAAAGAATGGAGGTAATGGGGGCCTCAAGCCAGTCCTGGGTGTTAATAATACTTGCATTTGACATAGCGCCTTATCACGACTTTGAAGCCAATTTGCACATAGTTAATGCCGCACAAACAGCCATGAAGTAAAAGACTAATTTTATCTAGAGGAATGTTGGCCAGGACTCCGAGAGAAACTCCCATTTCTTTTCAAATAGTATCGTGGGATCTCTAATGTTCTCCTGAACAGACAGACGGAACTTTTGTTTAACATCCCATCTGAAGGACAGTACAAATCTGATAACGCAAGCACTCAGTGTCAGTCTAGACTGAGAGTTCATAGACCCGACATGGGGCTTGAATTCTCAACCTTTTGACTCAGAGACTGGAGTGACTAAGCCAGGCTAACACCAGGCTGTTGGGATTGATGCCAAGAAGTTACAATTCCCCATTAATATTAAACTCCTCTTTTTCATTGATTCCTTTCTCAGTTTTTATGATGAGGATAAATAATTGTTAATGTTTCATAAAGATATTGCCCCGGGCTCCTCGCGAATGTGTTATATTGAGGAAACTGCTCCAATGCACAGCTATGGGGAATTGGCGTCCGCCTCTCTGACCTTTATTCGCAATTTGGTGCTTTTGGAAATTGCAATGAGCCATTTTGCAACTTAGCGCAAATTAGACCTTATTGGTGGCCTCACAGTTGTTCACACAAGTGGTGAGTTACGATAGGAATCCATGCAGTTCATCAGCTTGTGATGTCTGTAAACGATTCACACAGGCAGTTACTACGAAGTCTAGTGACTGAGCTCGCTGATGGTCTGTGTAAGCTGTGGCCTGAAGGACGAGGACAATGACAATGTGGCCAGACATAAATGACAGACTGTTGTTCTATGACAATGGATACCAGTATTGATCTAACAACTCCACCACCCACCACATACACTCCACCTCACACCACATACACTCCACCTCACACCACATACACTCCACCACACACCACATACACTCCACCACACACCACATACACTCCACCACACACCACATACACTCCACCACACACCACATACACTCCACCACACACCACATACACTCCACTACACACCACACACACTCCACTACACACCACACACACTCCACTATACTCCACCTCACACCACATACAATATACCACGTACACTGCCCAAATACACTGCCCCACATACATTGCCCACACCAACATAGAAACAGCCCCTACAATACACAGACCACCACATGCATTATATAAAGCACAAGAAATATACCTTTACATAGCACCTGTCACCGCAGGAGGACATCCCAAGGCTCTAGACAGGCCAGGATTTGCACCCAAGCTGGGGTCAAGGGTTGAGGTGGGCAAAGGGAATGGGTGGGAGAGGGAAGATTATTGAGGGTGTGATAAAAGGGGAAGGTCTTGAAACAAACCTTGAAAGAGGCGAGGGAAGAGGTAGAGTCAGAGTGTCTCTGGGGTGGAGTTCCAGAGAATGGGGGCAAATGGATTTAAAGCCCGACGGTGATGGTGAGGCAGGTAGAACGGGGGACATGAAGCAGGCCAGTGCTCACTGAGCAGCGGGAGCGGGTCGGTGAGTTGAGTAGGTCATGGAGTGAGGGTGGGGGCAAGACTGGAGGGAGTTTAAAGTGCCTTTCTGGCCCTGAGGGCTGCAAGAAGGGGAAGTGTATGTCACTTGATTTCCTAGGGACTTGCCGATGGTGTAGCTGGTGCTCACACCGGCTTTGTGTCTCCTACTCACTCTGTAGATAGATTGGGGGAAGGGGGCGGGTGGGGGGCGCGCTGAGCCTACTCTAGCCCCAGCCACCCACCACCTATATATGTTGAAAAAAATTGGGAGACGTATTTATGGGGGGGGGGGGGAATTTCCCAATAGCCAGTCCACCCTGCACATACCACACCACATACACACACCATCAGCATAGCACACACCACACGCGCACACACACTTGGGTGTGGTTTCCTCCTCTGGCTGGTTGCTGTATTTAGGCCACAGTACTGCTGTGGGGAGTGAAGTGATCTGTTTAGTATAAGGATGGATGTACAGCATGGTAGAACTCAGAAAATATGAAATACAATTTATTTTATTTTATTTAAGAAAAAATTGTGGTCACAATCTCGCTTTGGAATCATTTTTGTATAAAAAAAATAAAAAGTTTACTATCTCCTTTAATTGCCCAGGACTGCACTTTACACCTATCCAACTCTATGTCGGGGTTCCCTCCCTCATCCCATTCACTGCCATCTCCCCCCACTCCCCCCCACAGACACACATTCACTACCACCTCCCTACCCACACACTCACTGCCACCCCCCCCCCACACACACACACACTGCCACCCCCCCCACACACACACACACACACTGCCACCCCCCACACACACAAATTCACTGCCAGCGCCCCCCGACACACTCGCTGCCAGCGTCCCCCATCACGCTCTATGCCAGCATTTCCCTCCCATTCACTGCCACCATTTTACCCCCCCTTTCAATACCACCGTTCACACCCCACACCCCCCACCCACTCTTGTCACAATCCCCCTCCAATACACACACACCCTCTGCCAGTGTTCCCTCCACCGCAGGCTGTGAAACGTCTGACTGTTGGGTCAGGAGCTGTTCATGTTACAAAATCCATTAAATTTAAATCTTGTTTGCCAGCCTCTGACAAATCTCAGGCGACTGATGTTCAAACACAGCAATTTGTAAGCCGTGTCTGAGCCCGGGCGGCCTGGAGATTTGGGGAACAGTTAATTATTCGGCTTCTCGGGGAAGGCAGCGAGCAAGATGAAATGAGCAGCACCTCCCCGTGACCTTTTAGCCAGCAGAGAGGCTGCATCGTCTGCGATCGATGTACTGATAGGCAGCAGCTCCGGTGTCAGCGTTTCTGACGTGCAAATGCGGCTGTAGAACAAACTGCCGAGCGATAATTGGGTTTGTGTTTGGTCTGCGATTCACTTCTCGCAACCTGCAGAGAGCAAACCCTCAATCACGGAGACTCGGGCTGGTTCAGTGCCAAAGCTGCCAGGTTTTTTTTCTTTTGTGTTGGTCAGCTGGGTGTCTGACACTTGCTTGAGAGTATCCAAACCAAACTGAGAATTCCATGCATCCCATACACATGGAAATTTCCAACATAGATTGTTGGAATGGAATATGCACTCTCTCTGTAGGGATGCATCCTGCTTACCTAATTCTGGAAAGAATAATGTGCAGGTTGGCAAGAGCCAAAACTTGGGGACTCCAGAGTGTGTTTACGGTAACTGCTGGAGTCTCATCAGTTAAAACCACATAGCTTGCCATTGGTATTGGTATCTGGCTGAGCTTCACTCCCACAAACTGCGGACAGCAAAGCCTCAATAACTGCGACTCAGGCTGTTTCGGTGGTGAAATTGCGAGACCATCCCGGCCCCACCCTGCGCACACCCCCCCCCCCACCCCATTGCGCAGGGGGCTCGGAGCCGAGCAATTCGGCAGCATACAATGAGACACATTCATTCTGAGAGAGACGGCAATTTAACCCGTCATCTCTGGTGATGTTTGATTCTCCCGGCGCAACACTCCCCCCTCTGCTATATAACAATAATCCTTGCATTTCATATAGCACCTTATATTGTTGAGACGTCCCACTTCAATCCACGACTGTTTATGGGACACTGCTGTGTGCAATTGGCTGCTGCGTTTCGCCCACAAAATATGCAGTCAATTCACTTTACATTATATTCTGTGAAGCACTTTGAGACGTCTAGAAGACTTTATAAGGCACTATATCAAATGCAAGGATTATTATTTATTATTATTATCCACTGCTCAAAGCATTTGCTGACTGACTGTGCAGGTCTGTAGTAGTTCACAACCCCATGTCGGTTAGTGCTCTTGTCACATCAGCAGCAGTATCTGCAGAGCCTAAGACTAGCAATTGACCACCAGAGACAAAGGGAAATCACTTGACTCAGAGAGCACTTTCTCTGGGCTATTTTGAGCGGGATCCTGGAGTTGATTCCAGCTTGCTTTTATTTCTCAGAGCCAGCAAAGGTAGAGAAGGCTTGGCTAAGCTGGCACTCGGGTTGGTTGGGAGAATGATGCAGGCACCACTGTTATTTTCCAGCACTTCATTATCGACTGGGCTACAATTTGCTGCATTATTACACCATCCATCTTCGGAGAGGGAGGAAAGGGGGCTCTGATCGCCTGCTCTGCCAGGCGCACACTCCAGCTCATTTATTTTAAATTAATGAGAAAATGGAAGGTCAATCTTCCACTCTTGAACAGAAACAATATCACACAGGCACCGGGAGAGAGAAAGGGGACAGAGGACGTGAGCTTTGGCTGTAATCAGCAAGCTTTTAAATTACATTTTAGTCAGGTGAGACTGTGCCATCGGCTCCCTTAATGGGGGAGTCTGATTCCACACAAGTGGTGTCCCCATCACTGACTCCACGCATGGTGTCCCCATCACTGAATCCACACCCGGTGTGCTAGTTCTCGCACACAGCGGTCAAAGAGGATGGCTAAAAGACCTTCCTCTTCCACCGTGCCTCTGGCCACCTTCCCCCGGCTTGGCGTCCGGCTCCGGCACTGTAAAGCGCTCTGGGTTGCTACCCTGCGTGAGGGGTGCTATATAAATGCACGTTGTTTTTGTTCTCCAGTCATTGACTCCACACGTGGCACCTCATGTTGGTGAGGATGGAAATGCAGGGAATAATCTGGGGTGGAAATCACCACCTCTTCCCCCCCCACCCCCTCCCCGGTACAATACAGTGATACGAGAATACAGAGGAACTGAAACAAGCTGTCAGAGATGCATTTTGCCTCCTCATTCCATCCATGTCATGGAAGATGCCACACTGATGATGCCATGAAAATGATGTCGCTTACACTCACCGAACCTCTCGATGTCAAAATAGTTAACAACAACAACAACAACAAGATTACATTTGTATAGCGCCTTTCATGTCGGGAGGACGTCCCAAGGCTCTGGACAGTGTACAGCATTTCAGACCCGAGCTGGGGTCAGGGGGGAGAAGGGAGGGGAGGGGAAGGGGGTTGGCTGGTGGGATGGTCGAAGAGGTGGGTCTTGAGGCGGGACTTGAAGGAGACTAAGGAGGGGGTGAGGCAGAGTGACTGGGGAATGGAATTCCAGAGGTTGGGGGAAGAGTGGCTGAAGGCTCTCCTGCCAATGGTGGGTCGGGGACATGGAGCAATCCGAAGCCGGCTGAGTGGAGGGAGTGGGGGGCTTGATAGGGGGTTAGGAGGTCGCAGAGGTAGGTGGGGCGAGGCTATGGAGGGCTTTGTAGGTGAAGACCAGGATTTTGAACTGGATCCTCTGAAGGATAGGGAGCCAATGGAGTCGGTTGAGAATGGGGGAGTTGGGGTCACAGAGTTTGGTGCAGGAGAGGACACGGGCTGCAGAGTTCTGGATTATCTGAAGCCTGTGGAGGGAGGAGTTGGAAGGCCGACAAGCAGGGATTTGCATAGTTGAGCCTGGATGTGATGAAGGCATGAACAAGAGTTTCAGCGGCCTGAGGGGTGAGGTAGTAGTGGAGTCGAGTGATAGTACAGAGGTGAAGGATGGCAGAGCACATCATGGCTTGGATGTGGAGAAGAAAAGACAGTTGAGGGTCGAACAAGACACCTGGGTTCCTGACTGGCTTGGTGAGTTGTAGTGTGCAACCATGGAGGTTGATGCTTGAGGTGCTGAGGCGCTGGTGTGAGCCAATCAGAAGAGCCTCAGTCTTGTTCACGTTCAACTGTAGGAAATTTGCCCTCATCCAGGACTTGATGTCCGACAGGCAGTCTGTCAGGACAGCAGTGGTCCTGGAGTTGAGGGTGGAGGCAGAAAGATAGAGTTGAGGGTCATCTGCATACATATGGAAGTTGACCCCATGTCTGCGGATGATGTCACTAAGGGGGAGCATGTAGATATTAAAGAGGAGAGGGCCAAGGACAGAGCCCTGGGGGACGCCAGACGTGACAGTGCGGGGCTGGAGGAGAAACTGTTAGAGGCAACAAAGTGGAGACGATGAGAGAGATAGGAATTGAACCAGACTAAGGCAGGTCCGTTAAGATTAAGTAAAGCGGAGAGGCAGTGTATGAGGATGGAGTGGTCGACAGGGTCAAAAGGCGGCAGAGAGGTCGAGGAGGACAAGGAAGCAGAGGAAGCCCTGATCACAGATGTTCAGAATGTCATTAGTGACTTTGACCAGGGCTGTTTCCGTGCTGTGGGCAGTGAGGAAGCCGGATTGGAAGGGTTCAAAGAGGAAATGGCGAGAAAGAAAGGAGTGGAGCTGGGACGCGACAACTCGTTCCAGAACCTTGGAGAGGAATGGGAGGTTAGAGATGGGGTGGTAATTGGAGAGGAGGGATGGGTCCAGGGAAGGTTTTTTTCAAGATG